CCCCCCAAAAAAAAGTAAGAGTAACCCGACATACAAAAATGGAATAAAATGAAATTACAGTTGCTACAGTGTCAACAATAGCAAGTACTGTTGCCACCTTCTCCAAGCAAAGCACAGCTCTGATGCAGTTTCCACACTGATTAATATATAATACAGGCTTAGAGGAAAATACAGTCAGGGCAGAAAGAAAGGACCACACTGCCCCTGCTGATGAATACTGAGATCACAGCCCTACTGCAGAATTCTTACAGAGCTACCAAGATACTGCTACTGTTTAATGTTTAAGCTGTGTTTTTACATTTAAAAAAAAGTTTTACACAAACTAAAGCAACAAATGTAATTCGTCGTTTGGTTTGTTTAACACGAGCAGAATAGATAACGAAGTAACTCAATGGTTCTCACTGCTTTTTCTCTGTTTCTCTCCAATCATTGGTGATCAGGTCAAAGTGTCTCTCGACAGCTTGATAGACAGTCTAAACAGCCTTTCAGACACTGGGGATTGTGTGGCCAGAGTTGAAAAAATGCTCAAGGAGCTAAAAACACTGGAGGAGAAAGCTCAGGTTTGTAATGGCACAGTTACACACACAATAGCACATAATCATTTAATAATATCGAATCATTACAAGTAATTTGGTTTCTTGTTAAAGCAATCATCATGAATCACTTTAGTAGAGTTGTAGAGTTACACAGTTGAGTGTGGATACCCTGAAGCTTTTGTTTGCACAGCTTAATGTATCATATTTAATTGATTTTCTTCCAGGCCACACTGGAAAAGGCACAACTTCACGCACTGCATGGTGACCAGCTGATTCAGAGCAATCACTATGCTGTGGACTCCATCAGACCCAAATGTGTCGAGCTCCGTCGTGTCTGTGACGACTTCAGCAATGAGGTCAAGAAAAAGACAGATATTTTGTCCAAATCTCTGCAGATACACCAGGGCATAGATAAGGTAAGGATACCATGTGAGTTGTGTACATTTACAGATGGCTACAAATCCAAAAGTTTGACTTAACACAAGCCAGATGAAATGTGATGAATCTGTTCTTTGGTTGTTTTTTTTTTTTAATCTTTTCATTAGATAATTCTGGACCAAAATGTCCAGACAGTGGGACATGTTGTAAAATCACACTGACATATTTACATCTTAGAATGTCACGGCCTCTATTTGCATCCAGCAGATGGCGCAAGCATTGAGTTAAAGTTGTTTAATCTTGAGTCTCTGGCACCTAAATATAATGTAAATATTATTTTTTATTCAATGTTCTTAGTGAAATGTGCTGCTGAGCACAGCTTTAATTCCAAATTTGGTTCAACTGTTTCGATATTTTAAAATGAGTTGAAAACTGCTTGGACTACTATTTGATTAGATAAATCTACAATTACATAATATGTGTTCTACATTACACCTGTGACTCGACTGGTGTAATGTGACTCTTCCAAAAAAAGAGCTGATGGTTGTTTTTCTGTTTGAGTAAGGTGTGGACGGATCATTGTTTTGACTGGGCCATCTGTCCACACTGCAGCTGTAGACATATTCAAATAAACCGTCATTAACACGCTCATCACCGTGGCTTCAGTTCTCCCGGTTGCCACAAGACCAACTATTGCAGTCATTGTGTTTAAATATGAAAATCTAAATCTATTCTAATCTTATCGTACAAGAGCACTCACCATCGGTTTGACCAAATAATCTTTTTAAAGATAAAGATATTAAAGATATTAGAAGACTGACAACTTGACATAACTCAACAATCGAGGATTTTATTACCTGTATAACAAGTTTCTACAGACCCGACTGGAATTTTACTTGCAGTATTTTCCTCCTACTACCCAAATACAGGACTCTTACACTGTGACACCATATGTGAAGGGATGATTATGTTTTCTAAAACTGAATTCTTGGCTATTTGCTGACGTCATTAGATGTTGTGTGCAGGTTAACCAATGGTGTGAGTCTGGGATCTACTTGCTGGCATCCCAGGCTGTGGATAAGTGTCAGTCACAGGAAGGGGCAGAGTCAGCACTGACAGACATCGAACATTTTCTGGAGTCAGCAGAAAAGAACCAACTGACTGAACTGAGGAACCTGCACAATCAGTATGAGGTTGTCTTGTCAGAGGATATCAAGGTACAGTCCACAAACATAATACTTTGAAAGATGTTCTGTTGCAAAAATGATGAGGACAAAGGTAGATGTATAGCTTTTTACTCGCAGGGTAGTGTACTGAAGGCGCTAAAGAGACTGGAAGATGTTCAGGAGATGTTTGAAAAGCGGCATCTCAGTCTGAAGAGACTGTCAGCTAAACAGACAAGGCCCATCCAGCCTGTTGCTCCACGGCCTGAATCCTCCCCCAAACGGCCCTCAGTGAAGAACACCCCCAGGACTGCAGGAGGCCAACAGCGTAATTTGATCTTTGTGTTTTCAGCTAATTTAAATGAAGATATGTTCTTTTGGTTTTTGTCTTAACTGTAAGCTTTTGCAAGACTCTACAACAGTTAGATTAATCTGAAGTAATGCAAAGACTACAAACAAGAAAACACACAAACTTTGAAGAAAGAAAGGATCAAAGTTACCAGCGTGCTGTTATCTTGTTTCAGCTCTTGCTCGCAGAGCTTCCGATAATTCTAACAAACAGCAGGCTGAAGCTGATCTCAACAAGAAGAAGAACATAAGGAAGGCAAAGGGAGGAATCAAGGTAATGTCCTTAGGCTACACTTTAAAATCTCACTGAAACAGTAAAACACATTTAAAGTCCTGTTCATCTGTCTTTGACCTCATTTCCATTGAATTACATTTCATTTCACTCTGAAATGTGGTGGTAACAACAAACACAACAAAACTGATGGACCCAAACTATTTTTATTGGCTATGAAAGGCTCTACTTTCAGAAACTTACCAGTTATTCATGGATGCACATAGGAAGCACAGTTGTTCAGTAGTCGGTACTGCTGCCTCACAGAGGCCCCTGGATTGTCTATATTAACACCTTTATTTCATAGTTTTTATTTATTTTTATGACTTTTAGTATTTTGAGTGAAAGAAAACATGAGAGATGTGAATGGATCTACTTCATCATCTTTTTTATTCCCACCAGTAGAGGGCAGAGGGGTTGACTGGTCACACATTTTAATACTCAGTCCAAAAGTGTATGCCAATTTGGTGGTTGACTGTGCACTCGTATAATTTATTTTGTGACTCAAGCTTCCTGGAGGCCTGATGCCAAAAGAGCACAAACTCTTCTGGTCATGTTACATGCCACACAGTCAGTTTAATGAAGTCGTGGATTTTTCAGCATACTTGGTCAAACACTCATCCCTCTTTGAAACCGTTTTTTTTTTTCAGAAGAAAAAAACAAAACAATAATGCTGGTAGATATTCTTCTGAAAAATTAAAATCAATCATACGCCAGACACGAATGCTGTTTTTGTATAATGTTGGCAGATATCTGATCCTTCCTATAGCAAAGATATTTTACTGTTAAAAGGAGTTTTCCTTGACACTGATGCTCATAAGGGTATGTAAGCTCAGTGAGATTTTCTCTCTGATATTGGAAGGTATTTGGAGATTGTTTCTTGTAAAACACAGTGCTATAAAAACAAAAGAACTGATTCATTTAAAGCCACTTGTGCATATATTTGTGTGTTACAGATTGAGGTCATGCATGAAGAAAGCCAAGGAGGCTCCACACATGTTGTTGTGACAAATGAGACTGAGGAAAGTCTATCCAACAGACGCAGGTAAGGGGGGATAATGTCGTATTCTGGCGATTATAACAAAAGCACATCTTTTACAGCTGCAGTTTATTTTATGGCATAATTTTATGCAGTGTTCTATACTCTTCCCAAGGATAGTGCAAGTATTTCTGACATGGTAGAAAAACAGTTAACGCCCAGATAAGTCCTCATAATACTTAACAAACAATATATATCCACATATCCTTTCAATCTTTAAAAATGTCATTTCTCAATCCAATATGTGTCTTGACCTCTTGAAACATTGATTTACTTATAAAGAAACTAGTGGTACTAACCCTAACTGATGTGACCATAATTGTTCCTATGTGGTTAACTAATATGTACCTTAAACTTTCCTTCTTCAGGCAATAGATAAGCAAACTTAAACTTTGATACAGCAAGACAAACACATGTCAAATAAGAAAGAGCAGGTAATGGGATGTAAAAGGTCCACAATGAAGTTTTGTTGGTGTTGGATTTTATTTAATTTCTTACCACCTCACTTATGCTCGCCTTATGAGTAGATACATTATCTAGGTTCAAGTAAAATAATAAGTAGATCCTATGTGAAACTGATTCTGAACTATTGTTTTTTTTTTATTTAAGCAAAAATTCTATTAACAAAGTTGATACATTCAAAGAAATGTCACACAAAAATTACAACAGCATTCAATTTCAGAATTTAAAAAAAGATCAAACAGTATTATAGAAAAGAATGCAGTCTCTCCTTTTATCACACTATGAAATCCATGAAATTATAATGAGATTTTTCGGCTGGGATTAGAACCATCAATGTGTAATTTCAACCAGAAATAACTTAAACTAAAACACCCTTTGTTGCCCAAAATTAATGTGAAAGGTTTGGCATTGAGTGCACAGGTAAAGGCTAGGCATTTTGGAATAATGTACTTGGCACAGACAAGTCAGTTTGGGGTCAGTATATCAGAGACAGGTTTACTGCAGACTTTTTCAATCTCACTCCTGAGGTGTCAAATACTACTGCTCGGAGTGGACACTTAGACGTCACATTACTTACATACCATCTTAGCTTCATTTTTCAGTGTGCATGTAATCAAATAGACTTACTCCACATACAAAAAAGGCATTGTGAGATTGTGGGTAAATGTTTTGCTTTGGTAACCCTGTGATAGATTAGGGTAATGACAGCTGGAATAAATAAAGCAACTATAAATTGTATAAGAGCTTAAAAAATGGTTGGATCGATGATTTGCTTAGGTGTTGCTCAACTATCTAAAGGTGTCTGAACAATTTTCAGACACCGTAAAACTATGCAATCTGCAGATTTCGAGATATTGTGAAACCTGCAGATTGAACCAGAAGTAAGTATTTCAACAGGTGAATTGTTGTAATCACACTTGTAAATCCAAAACAAAATCAGAAAGAAAATGAGGTAATTGCTATTCAAAAGTCAAAGCCTTGCTCATAAATCTGTCCAACTACATTATGGGTTGGTTATTTGTTTTGGCTTCTGACAGTTACACATGAAAAGCTTCACGGGTCTAGCTGACTAACCTAAACAGAGTGATCAATAAATTAAAGTAACTTAATCTTTAGACATTACAGTTTCACTGGAGCTTATTTATAGAATACACAGTTTAACAATATACAGGAAGTCAGGTGAGTGCAATGAAGTTATTAAGAGTGAACGAAGGAATGCAGTTAAGAAGGCAAAAATATAAATTAGCAGAAGTCCTGACGTGGCTACACTGAAAATGCAGGCTACGGCAGAATTACACAAGTTCGTCATAATTTAGCACAATCTGGCAGGCCCTAATGTGTGACACACTTGATTGGCTCTATGACAGTTAATTATTATACATATGCATCAAAGTAATAATCACAGCATCACAAAAAACAGTGTTTTCCAACAAAAATCAAGTTGGTCCAGTTATCCTCTCACTTGGCAGCTGCATCGTTAACATGTCTGGGTTTAAATTTCAGAGTTATCCTGATACCCTTGTCTTATCTATAAATAATTAAAAGGCAAAACTATCAATTGCCCCAACACAGAAGAATAATCCAAGGCTACTTAAGTCAACAATTTTGATGCTTGCTACCGCTAATTTATGGAGAAGACAAAGGGAAAAGTAATTTCGTTGATAAGTGCTTTAGTAAACTTCTGCGGAAAGTAACATAAAAAAAATTAAAGGAACGCAAAGGGAAGCTGCACATCAATGAAGCCTGATGCATCTGGACATGAATTTTGAATGAATTTAATTTCTTAATAGATCTTCATTTCATTACAAGACAGCACACAACGGCAAAGGTGAAATGTGTCAGACTAGTGCTGTTAGGTAACATTGTTTATAACAGTGTTTGAGACCCACAACGAGTATTCATGTAAAAGCAGCACTACAGGAGTAAGTGTTCTGATAATGTGGCAGACATAGTAGCATCACTCTCACTGCTGTGCAATAAAGGTTACCTAGTATTCCCCTGGTGCTGCTGTTCTCTCTAGATTCTGTTGCTGACCGCCACAGTGAGCGCATGTCAGAGATATGATCGTGTGATGTGATCATGTGGTCATAAATGCAGGGGTGGTAAGGAGCCTTGCCCTCCCCTGAAAAGTAAACATGCTCCTGGGGAGAGACCCCCATGGTCTTGGCACAGATTCCCATAAAGACATCGTCAATGTACATAGAGGAGTTCAGCAGCAGAGTCGCCTGGTAAATTTTAGCAGCTACATCCCCTGAAACCACATACCCTGCTCCAGCAGTGTAGTCTGGGTAGGATGGCCAGGGATACAGATCATAGGGAATGTGGTATTTACTGTATTTATAGCGAACTGGAGGTGATCCCCTGTGGACATGCCCCACCCATAGGTCTTTAGCTCCTGATTGACTCCTGAGAATATCCTGTAAATACTTTACCAAATTACGCATATGGACAAAGATGTCATCATCCGCAGACATGACGAAGCGTGCCTGAGGGCAATATATGTGCCTCCAGTGGAACTGCTGGATCAGTTTGGTAGTCAGGTTATAAAATGTGTCTACAAAGTTCTGCTGGATCAGATCTCCATAGACCTTGTCCTCCTTCAGCAGTACAGTCTGGACCTTATATCTCTGTTCGACATATGGATGAATGCCAATGGCGAACACCAACCTCATATTCACCCCCAGTTCTGCCCAAACAAAGCTCTCGTTTCCCCATGTGTCCCTGATGGCTCGGCGCCGCTCAAAGTTCTCTGGTGATGATTTTACAAATAACAGCAGAAAAACATCATTTAAACTCTTCCCATTTTCCCCTTTGCATTTCTCTGGGTGGTTGATGAGGTATGAATAGTTCACAAATCCACCAAATACCCTGTTAGAACCACCCTTTCTGTAATGATGATTGGAGTTGATAGCAAAAGAAGAATTGAGAAAATCATAGCTGTTGAACAAGTACCGGTGAGTGAAGGATCTCACGTGGCTGACTGCATGGTCCAGCTCTTCCCAGTAAACCATCACCATACAAAGCAGAAGACCTGTGGTCAGCAGTTGCAAACACTGGCACTTGTGGATTCGACGGAAGTTCACAAACATCTTGATTATTGCTTATTTCAGCTGAACACAAACAATATATGCCCCATCTAATAATATTCTCTTCAGCCTCTATCCTTTCTTTCTTTCACTTGTCCTTCAAACTGGTTCCTTTTCCTCATGATGAAGTCCAGTGTGGTTGCTCTATTACTGATCTCTCTCTCCTGTGTAAAAAAAAGTTCTGCTTCCTTGGTTGCAAGCTGTAACTAACTGGTGTTGGTTCAAGCTGTGTCAACCATCACTTCCAAAAAGTCTAACATGCTACTTCTCTTTTGACTATTTAAAGTTTCCAGTTAGTTCAACTTCCATCCCACGACTTTAATGTCTGAATGTCCTCAGGCCACATGACACCTGAAAAAAAAAAGAGAAAAACAAGACTAAGATAAAACTTTATATGTGCATATATTCTGTTCCATAGTATAATTATGCAGAGTATCCTTGCAGTTCCTTGGCAGTTCAATAGTCAAAATCAGTTTAATTGTAAAGTTGTCTTCAATATTGTTTTTTTGCATAAAATATACCACAGTTCCCAATAAAAGACAATGTAAAAATGTGCACCTATGGAAGATCTGCCACTCAGGGTATGTTCGGACTTTATGAAAAACTGAAAACAACATTTTTGAAGTATTGTGCATAAACAATATTATTGAATGGACACGGGTAAAAACGCAGCTCTAACAAATTGTAAAGTATCATGAGCTGTAGTACACGCAGCCGCTCCACCTGCTTGAAAACTTGCAGCCTAACCGGATCAGTCAGCTGGCAGTTAGGAACTTCCTTAGTTGTGCGTCTGTAGTTAGGCATAGTTAAAATGTTAAAATGGTTAGGCGTCAACACCACGTGGATTTTGCACACGTTCTTTTACAGCTGCTCATTATTGTTTTCTATATTTATTTTGGATATGTTTGCGACGAGGGCGTGAGCGTATGGTTTTTACACATGTGGAAGCATTCAGATTTCACAACGTGGTTTTGCGCTGATATCATTAAACGTTCCTTGCAGTAAGTTTTGTATCAAAAGGTGTTCCGATGCAGTTTATTTGGGGTCCTGAAGTTGTTTTTTCTGTAGTATTACAGTGTTAGCACCTGGATAGGCATGTTTCTTATCACAATGTTACTACAGAAAATCCGCTGCGATTGTGATTGAATGCTCGTTTTTAATCCAGTGATAGTGACGACATTTAGTGCTGTGGTTGGTGTATTGTGTATTTAGAATCTATAGTAAAGAATTTATAGTAAATGTCCACACCTTACATAATGTGTAAGGTGTGGATATATATATATATATATATATAT